TGAAATTTAATTGAGTTTTAAATAGTTGTGCAGTAGGTTACATCTTCAGAGTCCACTAGAAAATGCTTCGGAAATTGGACATCTTTGTTTTCATGGTATTTTTGTTTCAAACTATTAAAGAATAAAACCAGTGCTGTCCATACTCTCAATTACTGGCAAATTATTGAAAAGCAGGATAGATAGGCCTATAGCATTACTATATTTTAGATACATTTTGACGCATAGGTAGTATTTATCAGCTAGCTGAAGGTCCTTAGTTGTCAGTACAATTGAGGCTGCTTGGCTCTATGGGAATTATGTAAACCCACAGAAGCTGGTGTGAATAATACCTTTCAAAGGACACATGGCATCTGACTGTCTAGCTCTGTGGTAGGCCAGGTGCAATGACACATGTAATGGTTACTCAGATACCCAGGGAAGGTGGCTTCTCTACACATGATATGAGCTGAGATCTCAAAGGAGACAAAGTGGAAAAAAAGATGGAACCAGAAGGGGAAATACCAAGCATAGAGACCTAGTAGCAAAAGGCTTATCAAGGACTGAAAGAAATCAGTGTGGCCTGAAGGGAATCTGAGGGTGGTAAACATGAAGATAAGAGGGGTAAGGGCTAGACTGTGTATGCCCTGATAGGCCATGTTAAGGTAAGCAGGGACTAAGTCTTGTTCATCGGTTATCCCCAGTGTCTAGGAGTTCAGTTAATAAAGCCTCTAAACTCATAAAAAGGGTGGGTTAAATAGTCTTCTGACAAGATGTGTGATTAGCATATGTCATTCTCTTCCTCTAACTCAGCCCTGGAGATTACAGAAGAAAGAAGTTAGGGATCTGAGAAACTAAATATAAAGATTCCTTGGAGGAATAGATCATGATTAGGTCCTATTATACAGGGGCAAGAAATGGAACCCTAGTGTAGAAAAGGACAGAGTGCCAGGAGTGTAGAGGTAGTAGAAGGTAGGACTTAAGTTTTCCAGATTATAACTCAGAGGCTTTATGCCTTGAGGGCATCTCCACACTCTAACCCATTATGATTCTAGGGCCTGTCTGGGCTTGGCTACTCCCTTCTACAGGCATCTGATAAAAATTCCCATCCTTTGCTGTGAGCTCATAGGGTAATCAAATCATCTGAGAACTAGAGCATTCCCTTCCCTGCTCATGCTCTCTCTCAAAAATAAATAAACATTAAAATATTAAAAATAAAAATAAAATGAGCCTAAGGAGATATAAGAACTAAATGTAATATCCTCAATGGGATTCTAGAACAGACAAAAGACATTTAAGTAAAACCTAAGGAAATCTGCAAGTATGGACTTTAGTTAATAACATATTCATATTAGCCCATTAATTGTAACAAATGTCTATACTAATGTAAAATGTTCTTATGAAAGGAAACTGGGTTGTGGAATACATGGGAATTCTTTGTACTATGTTTACAACTTTCCTGTAAATCTACAACTATTCTATAATCTATTTTAAGGTCCATTTTATCAGCCTTTTTTGAGGTAGTAGTAAAGTCACCCTTAACAAGGAGTACAGAATGTTCTCATATTCTAAAGGCCCTTTATTGGAGTACAGGAGGGCCAAAGTAACAGGCCTTCTAAATAGCAGTAAAGAGAATTGTTAAGCAGACATTCTAAGTATTACCGTTGATTTGTTAATTCAGTGAAATTGTTTTCCAAGAGAATATTGACAGGTCCATTAACTGGAGCTGTTCATAAAACCCTAATTAAGCAACAAGATTCAAGAAGTCATTGTCCTTCTTTTAAGTACTTAATTAGTTGCTCTTCCCCAATTGTTTTCTTTTGTGTGAATTCCTAGGCAATGATCCACATTTTTATGTTTCTTTGGGGCCTGCAGAATTTATTTCTCCAGGGTTTTATTTTCCTGATTAAAATTTTGAGAGGTGATCCAAAATTTTAATTCAAAAGTCTGTTGACAGCAATTTCAACCCTGAAGGAAAGGAAGTAAATTATTGATAGGCACCAGGAATGGCACTCAATACTTTCAGCCCCCTACCCATCCTGCTTTAGTTTTTCCTCTTGATATGGTACAGGTCTGAGGCTTGAAACTGAAGCAGAGCAATGAAGAGGGACACTGTGTCTACTGCTTCCTATGACAAGAGGTGGCAGCTCAGGGTTAAAAAGGTCCTTTGAAATGTTTTACTTCATCTTTTCTTTCCTTACCAGGAAATTAAAAAAAAAAAAAAATCAACTCAACAGGGAGTAGTAGGTGACTAATTAACTTCACTCATCAACTAGGAAATCCCATTATATTACTTTAATGGGCATGATTAAGCCACTGAAACCTCCTGGGGTATTGAATACAGTCACTGACTTCAATGAATTATCCTTCAAGTAGCAACAAAGGGACCCCCTCTCTGCACCTGGGTAGACTTACAGTGGTCAGGAAGGCAATCTGTATGCTCACAGGAACTTGTGATCCCAGATTTTTAAAATTAATTAACTTATTTATCTATTTACTTAATGTTCTATATTTTAATTTTTTTGTATTTAAAAAATTTTTTTAAATCTTATTTTATTTTTTAGAGAGACAGAGCTTGAGCAAGAGAGGGGTGGAGAGAGGAGACACAGAATCCAAAGAGGCTCCAGGCTGTCAGCATAGAGTGAGATGCAGGGCTAGAACCATGAAGCATGAGATCATGACCTGAGCCAAAGTCAGATGCTTAACCGACTGAGCCACCCAGGTGCCCTGATTTTTTTTTTTTTTTTTTGTATTTTTGATGGGGGGGGATTTTTTTTTAAAGTTTGAGAGGGACACAATCCCAAGCAGGGCTTGATCCCATGAACTGTGAGATCATGACCTGAGCCCAAATCAAGAGTCAGACGCTTAACTGACTGAGACACCCAGGTGCCCCAAAAAAGAGAAAATCTTAAGCAGGATCCACACTCAGTGTGGAGCCCAACACTGGGCTTGATCTCACAATCTTGGGATCATAACCTGAGCCTAAATCAAGAGTCAGAAGTTCAATCGACTGAGCTACCCAAGAACCCAGTGATCCCAGATTTTAAACTCTGACTTCATGACATAAAGATTTCCTCTTTTCTTCGGGACCATTTGTTTCACTACCGAGGGCTGAAACTGTGATCAGGCTCTGCTGCAACTGAAGACTGGTGTTCTTTCTTAGGACCTTTCCTTTAGGTGTACATTAAAAATGAAGAGAACTGCTATGACAAAAGTAAGCCATGTAAAAAATATACACAACGAACTCCAAATACAAAAAATGAGAACCATTCTATTTGGATAATTTACTAAAGTCATTTTACTCCTCTAAAGTGCCTGATTGCTGATTTTGACTCAGGTCATGATATCATTGTTCATGGGATGGAGCCTCTGGTCAGGCTGCATGCTGACAAGGAGGAGTCTGCTTGGGATTCTCTCTCCCTCTCTCTGCCCCTCCTCCACTCATGCTTGTGCTCTTGCTGTATTTCTCAAAATAAACATTTAAAAATAATAAAAGGTATTTAATACCTTATGATAAAGGCTTGCTATAAGGCAAAGGTATTGGTAACATGGAATTTTTCAGAGACAGGTTGGTACTAGCTTCAGCCTGTTACTAATGAGCTATCAATTCCCAAGGCCTGAATTTCATTTTCTAGACCAGGGGTTGGCAAACTCCAGTTCACAGGCCAGTTTTGGCCTGCCAATCTGTTTTCGAAAGGCTCTCAAGCTTAGAGTGATTGGTGGAAAATTTTTTGTTGTAACACCAAAAATTTTACAAAATTCCAATTTCATTGTCTATTAATAAAGTTTTATTGGGGGCACCTGGGTGGCTCAGTTCAGCATCCGACTCTTGATTTCAGCTCAGGGTCATGATCTCATGGCTCCTGAGATTGAGCCCAACTAAAGCTCTGGGGCTGACAGCGCAGAGCTTGCTTGGAATTCTCTCTCCCCATCTCTTTGCCCTTCTCCTGCTTGTTTGCTCTGAAAATAAATAAAATTTAAAAAATATAAAGTTTTACTGGGGCACAGTAATGCTCATTTGTTGACACTTTTCTATGACTATGGCTGCTTTCATACTGCAACTGCAGAATTGAGAGTAGTTATAAGAGAGACTATATGGTACACAAGTCTAAAATATTATTTGGCCTTTTACAAGTTTACCAACCCCTGCCCTAGAACAGCAGTGTATAATAAAACTTTCCACACAGGTGGAAATGTTCTCTGAGCTGTCCAATACGGCAGTCACTAAATACTGAGATGGAAAAACAGATTCAATTTTTGTCAGTTGAAATAGCCTCATGTATTGTACTGCAGAGCTCTAGAAAATAAGAGCTTAGTTTAAGCCTTGGACTTTTGATTTAGTATTCTTCTCTAATGTTCTCATATTTCCTATAATTTTTTAGAACTTGTAAATTTTTCCACCTGTAAAGAAAACCTTACTTTTTAGAAGATTTTTCTCTGTGTAAATTAAGCTCTATACCCAACATGGGGCTTAAACTCATGACCCTGAGATCAAGAGTTACATGCCCTACCTAGTGAACCAGCCAGGTGCCCCAAGAAAACCTCACTTTGTATTTTTCCTTTACTCTCACACTACTACCACTCTCTCAACATTTTTGACACCGGATGTGTGTGGATTTTCTCCCACACCAAGCAAATTTGTGTCACCAGCTGGGTGTCGTACATTTTAGCCCAATTCTGACTCTCCATATACCTCGAGTATCATCAGATCCCTCAGGTTAAGAGCACAGTCCAATAAGACTGTTCCTCCCTCACTTCAGATGCCAATCGTTAAGTCCAGGTTGTTACCTGTACTTCTGACCAATATAAATCACAGATTCCCCAAATCCCCTCCTCAGGTTTGATAAATTTGCAAAAGCTCTCAGAACTCAGGAAAACGGTTTCCTTACAATTAACCAATTTATTTTAAAAGGATATGGTAGGGGTGCTGGAGTGGCTCAGTCGGTTAAGCGTCTGACTTCAGCTCAGGTCATGATCTCGCAGTTCATGAGTTCAAGCCCCGCGCTGAGCTCTCTGCTGTCCATGCAGAGCCCTCTTTGGATCATCTGTCCTTCCCCGGCTTGCACTCTCTTTCTCTAAAATAAATAAATATTTAAAAATATATTTAGGGGCGCCTGGGTGGCGCAGTCGGTTAAGCATCCGACTTCAGCCAGGTCACGATCTCGCGGTCCGTGAGTTCTAGCCCCGCGTCGGGCTCTGGGCTGATGGCTCAGAGCCTGGAGCCTGTTTCCGATTCTGTGTCTCCCTCTCTCTCTGCCCCTCCCCCATTCATGCTCTGTCTCTCTCTGTCCCCAAAATAAATAAACGTTGAAGAAAAAAATTAAAAAAAAAAAAAAAGAAAAAAAATATATATATTTAAAAAAAATTTTTAAAAGGATATGGGAAAGGATATAAACATCCAGATGGGACATGAATAGGGCAAGGCTATGTGGAAAGGGTTGCTGAGCTTCCATACCCTCTCTGGATGTGCTACTCTCCCAGCACCTCCCCTCCATGTGTTCACCAACATGAAAGTTCTCTAAACCCAATACTACTGGGATTTTTATGGAGGCTTCATCATGTGGGAATAATCAATTATTTCCATTTCCAGCCCCTTTCCCCTTTCTGAAGAATGGAAGTGGGGTTGAAAATTCCAAGTTTCTAACCAGTGCTTGGTCTTTCTAGTTACCACCTCATTAGAACAAGACATTTAAATCACCCAGGAAGTTCTTAGATTTAAGAGCTCAGTCAGGCATCAACATGAAAAACCAAATATTAGAACAAAAGATGCTCCTAGTGTTCTTACCACTTAGGGAATTTCAAGAGTTTTAGCAGCTCTGTGCCAAGAATGGGAGCAGAGGCCAATATATATATTTTCTATTATTTCACACCACCCATCTGAGGCTGAAAGTTAATTAGAACCTACATGACAAAGGACTGTATATATTACCTATCCTGGTGTCACACAGGGCTGTCAGACATCTGAGATTCTGATGGAGGCAGATTTCTCACTCAGATAAAGGCATCTAGGATTCAAAGAGGAAAGGAATGATAAAGTATCCTTAAGACAGGGTCCTTTCCTCAAAGAAAAAAAAAATTGTTTGCACCCAGACTAGGACCAACTCCACAGGAGGAGTTACTCCACTCTCAGAGGTGCAAAACACTGCCCAAGAGTATCAGCCACAACACCAAAACAGTGCTTGAAGCCAGACCTCAAGAAGGTCAGCGTTTGCTCTTCCAACAGTGTAACACCATCCAAGGCATCATGCTGGCCTGGATAGCTGACAACCGCTGGATGATTCCTGAAACAGCTTTCTTTGTTTCAGATACCCAGGCACCCCAAGTAGAAGTTATGGATACAGGTATCCCAATGAATTCAACGTTGACTGCAAAACAGAAGCCTGGAAGCACTGATAGCAGACCTTGCTGCCAAGCCTTTTAGACAAATAGGAAACAGGAACCCCTTTCCCATGCTTTTAGTCATTTTGTCCACATTCAAGGAGTTCCTGCTATGTGCCAGGTGCCATGATTGGGATCTAGCTGCGAACAGGCAAGATATGCCATCCTTCCTATCCTGGGCTTTATAATCTGCTGTACATTCCTCAGATGGAACGATACAGATCATCTCAAAGATCCTATACACCTTCAGACTAGAACCACCAAAATCCCACTTAGCCTTTCACTGCTAAGAGGCCGAATTTGTCAGGGGCAAATACAGGTGATTTTGCCTCCCAGTTGTTTCCTAACGGATACCAACTAGCAAATAGGCCTGCCACATAGGCAGTAGTCAGTGTTGGAATTAATAGAGACATTTACCTGAGAACGCCATACAGACCGTCCACATGCCGTGAATTTACTCTCTTCCGTAAGGCCAAGGATGCCCTACTTTCAAGTCATCCTAAAAAGAAAAAGATTTCACTGTTGAACACTAAACAGTGTTAACTAAAACAGCAGCTCCTAAAACCTCTTTTCTGTAGAAATGGAAGCAGTGCTGCCTGCCGTTTACGATTTACCCTATTTTCAATACCTCCAGAATTATTTTATTTCCTATTGTCTTTTTCTTGCCTATAATTACCATTAAAGCTAACCATTCCCCCAAACCCTCTAGGTATCACTAGTATTCTTAAAACCCCATATGTTAAAGGCTGTTCACAATGAACATCTGAGGTATTCACACAAGGAACTCAACATTTAACTAAGAGAACTCTTTTTAGGGAAAGCCAATTGTTGGAACAAAACTAGTTTTTATAAATAACTCCCCTACCTCCCAACATCCTCAGGAGTTCCTTCTATGGAAACTAGGATGTCACTTTTCACAGAAGTAGCAACTAAGTCAGCCCTATTGGACAATCTCCAGCACCACCATGAGTGCTGTGTGTTTGCCTAGAACTGAAAAGCATCTCTTCTCAGAGAATTAGCAATCCAAAACAAAATCACTACAAAAGGGACTCGTTATTTTTACTGCCCCGAAGGGGCAACAACTCTGTGGGAAACCAACACAAATATACTGTCAGCCTAAAGCAGAAATTAGTACGGTTATAGCTATGTAGAGCCTCTCAATCAATTGGTATTTTTATATTTTATTAAAGAGCTAGAGAAGAATGCCTAGAATTTTAAAGCAAATTCACGTAACATTTCCTTAATAAAGCATCCCTATAGATCACTGCAGCTATAGAACTCCCTTCAGAGAGACTAGCTTTGTATGGTGGAGTGGGGGACATGCACTTTAATTTCAGTGAAAATTGCAAAAATCCCATGCACTTTTTCCCTGTATAAGCCTGATTCAGAGCACTTGGTAGGCACTCAAAAAATAAAAAGTTGCCCCCTCCCTATACTTCTACATCCCTTCATGGCTTGATTACCTTTGTTCTGTTTCCAGCAAGTTCAACTAGACAAACCTGTTGAACCAGAACCACTCAGAAAGATTTGGATTTTTAGGTTTCTCCCTGCCAAGTCATGCCCTTACAGATTTCACCTTAATGAATGAACAATTATGCTGGCATCCTGGTATAGTTAACAACAGAGTTGGAATGAACCAGGCCCAGAATGCCAACCAGCTATCACAGCTGCTATTCTCCCAGCAGCGTAACACTTGCCTAGGTACACAGCAACCTAGGCAGCTGCCTACAGCTGGGGCCAAAGGCAGGCTAATGAAATTGCACTCACCTGGGGCTGCATCTATCCAAAGCCCATGGCTGGCCCCTCTGCAATCCAAGTACTCCGGGTTAGGCAGCTAACAGTAGTGAACACTTGTGTAAAGTTCAAGACCTCTACCCTCAAAACCCCATAACTTATTTCAGAGCCAGAGAAATAGACAATAAAACAAAAAGCTTTCCCTTGGTTAGCTTTATTTTCACATGTTTTTTACCTATTTACCACAGCAGTTCAACAGGAGCATTTTTTTAAAAGATTTTTTTAAGTTTTATTTCTTTGAGAGAGACAACACAAATTGGGGAGGGGCAAAAATAATCCCAAGCAGGCTCCACACTGTCTGCCCGGAGCCCAGTGCAGGGCTGAACTCATGAACCGTGAGATCATGACCTGAGCAGAAACCAAGAGTTAGATTCTTAGCTGACTGAGCCACCCAGGTGACCCTAGAAAAGATTTAAGTTTTATATAATCTGCACCTAACGGGGGGTGGGGTGGGGCTCAAATTTACAACCCTGAGATCAAGAACTGTATGCTCTTACAACCGAGCCAGCCAGGAACCCCTCAACAGGAGCATATTAATGGTCTAGTCAACAAGTATAAGCTATCACCTAACAACTATGTAACAGTGAACAAACAAGTGGGGTGCATGGGTGGCTCGGTTGGTTAAGCATCTGACTTCTCCTCAGGTCATGATCTCACAACTGTGAGTTTAAGCCCCGGCACGCGTCTGTGCTGACAGCTCAGAGCCTGGACCCTGCTTCAGATTCTGTGTCTCCCTCTCTCTCAAAAATAAACATTAAAAAATTTAAAAAAACGAAACAGTGAACAAGTAACCTCTCTATACCTCTCAGTCTCCTCATCTGTCAAATAGGAATGTTATCAATGGTACCCTGTACAAAAGATGGTTGTTAGGCTTAAGAAGCTTATATAAGCCTATATAATATGTTTTAGAGTGTGTGGTCAATAAATACTTGCTGTTATAAAAAGCTACATTCCAGACAAGGATATGATAAATAGGGGGAGTAAAAGGGGAAATGTTACCTTGGTAGAGCAATGGGCAGTGCAAATCAGAAAGGCTAGTTAAAACTAGATTGGAGAAAACGTGGTTAGGAGACCTTTTGAAGCACAATAAAAGCGGTACTCCAGAAAAATAACAAGATGCAGTAATGGGTATGAAAGGAAACGGAGACATGCTGCCATTCCTACCAACGACCTCAACTGTTGTTGAAAGCAGTAACTCAAGTGTTTGCAAGAATGTTAGTAAACATTCCTACCCATTCACAATTATAATTTACCTTATTTACATAATAAGAGTAGGGTATCTAAGACCATATGTTTTTCCAGCCATCCTTTAATTTCACTTTTAACCACCCCCAAACAATTGGGAGAAAAGGTAAAATAGGCTCATTGTCCAGGTCTAAAAACTAATCTAAACACAGCCTGCCCCTTTTAGGGGACTGGGTTGCAGGACTTGACCGAGCTCCACCCGGACACGTGCTCATCACAAATCTTCCCAAGCTCCGGGCTCTGGCGCCAGGGAAGCGAGGATCTCGGAGACCAGCTGTAGGAGACTCTCCAGGGACAAGAGGGCTGGCAGAAAACAAGGGGCGACTCTAGGGCTACCATCTCCCAGCGACTCTTCAAGATGCCCTCCAAACACGGGGTTATGATGGAACGAACCCCAATTTCGTCCTGTGCCTGGGAAGAAGCCTCCCCACAGCTGCCTCTCGCCCCAAACTAGTAAACGTCCAAGGCTTCTGCCCACTTGGCCTTTACTTACCCGCACGTGTCTAGAGCTCGGCCCACGTACTGCCGCCAGAGCAGAGGCCGCAGGGGAAAGGACAGCACCAACCCGAGGGGAGCCCCGCCTCGGGGCTGACGCTAAGCAGGCCCTCAGTGGGCGGGGCCCGGAAGCCCCGCCCAGGAAAGGCCGAGTTAGAATAATGCGGGAGCGGTGGCCGAGGTGAGCATACTCTTTACAGAAGCTAGAGCCCCAGTGTAGAAAGTGTAGGAATCCTAACGAGGACTGTATTTGACTACCATCCCGTTTGTTATTTACGTATGGAAGGGGGCGCTGGGTTTGGACGTGCTAAAGACAAAACCTGGAGTGTCCCGGGGAGGCCGTGCTTCCTGCCTGCCCACACCGAGTGCCGGTTCACCGTACAAGTGTGGCACCTTTCGGTTTCTGCAAGTGCAGCGTAAGCTTTTTTCATCTCCCACGCAGATCTTTTTTCCGGCTTTCTCTAGTAGGGTCGTCCCTCGGCTGATGGCTTGCCCATCAGGTCGCCTTGTTTTTCGGTTCTTTTCAGGAGATTTTCGGGTAGATTATGCCTGGCACTCCTATAGCCTAACCCTGTGGGACAGCATCTCTGGTGCCCTGAAGTAGAATCCTTCGCTGACTTGCAGTATTTAAAGAATACTCGCTTCCTCTGCCGGAGTTACTTGGCACCGTGGCACAATCAGCCCAAGAAGCTACATTTTCAAGGTGGACAGATTGCCGGTTACCAGCATTTCTTTTGAACACTAAAACTTCCTCTCCTCATTAGCTGGAGTCAATACTATTATGTCCTGCCGAACGGTGGGGAAAGCTGGAGTCCCTCCCTTTCTTTGCCCCCACGGCATCCTACCAGGCCTGCTCATCTACTGCATCTGACACCTTTGCCAGGCAAACCCCTAGGAATCAGCCACTGCCCCTGGCATCTGCCAACATGTTTTCTTATCTTCTCCCAGCGATCATAATGGGAAAAAAATGTGTTTCCTATGCACCCCAATCCTCACAGACCTCTGCTGAGAAAGGCTAGAGTGAGTGCTAAATTGATTGCAGCTAGAGACACTAGACTCTAAGGCCAGAGAGAGACTGGATAAGTGGCAAGCCCAAATCCTCGAGTTTGATGGAGTTGGACATAGGCTCTGGTTGGAAAAAGACTTACATAAATACAATAATTTTAAAAAAGGCACATGGGGCGCCTGGGTGGCGCAGTCGGTTGAGCGTCCGACTTCAGCCAGGTCACGATCTCGCGGTCCGTGAGTTCGAGCCCCGCGTCGGGCTCTGGGCTGATGGCTCAGAGCCTGGAGCCTGTTTCCGATTCTGTGCCTCCCTCTCTCTCTGCCCCTCCCCCGTTCATGCTCTGTCTCTGTGTCCCCAAAATAAATAAAAAACGTTGAAAAAAAAAAAGGCACATGAACACTGTTGAGCGGTAGGCAGGAGCTCTGCTTTGTTAAATAGGAATGTAGCTGAAGACTGCTGCCATAATCAGTGCCCGCATCCGGCGGTCACAATGTATTCATAAAGGATGGTTATGAGAGCTATAAAACCCTGCAGATTGGGTGGGTAATTGTCCTGTGAAGCTCTGCTAAAGGAGAAATTGCATTGGCATCTCATATATTTTGCTTTCTTTTCTTCCAAACACATGAAATGGAGAAGGAGACCTACCCTGAGGATTCATGAAAAGGAAAGATGAGGTTTGTGTGAATATATGCATGCGTCTGTGCTTTCAGAGAAGAGACAGGAAGTGATTCAGGCTATACAGATACAGGACCTAAGGAGAGAGAGGGACCCAATGACCTGGTGACTACTGGACACAGATTAGTCAGGTAAGAGGCAGGATTTGTGTGGAAAGAAGGCCAGCCATCATGGATAAGGCTGAGTGGTGGGTCATGTTGTTATGTCACTGAAAATATAGTCAGCTTTGTTAGATATAGGGCTTTCAGTGTGATAAGGAGGAAAACCTAGATTATGGTTTCTGCATTTCTTAGTTAAAAAAATCCTTCGTAGTCAACCTTCTTAACCTCCATTCTTTAAAATTCTGAATTTGTTTTGGTGAGTTGATTTATGTGGTCCTTTACCTGTAATAGCAACTACTTTTCTACTTTCTTATCCTTGCAAAGACAAAATTGTTAGAAATAATAACAAAAAAGAAAAAGGGAAATTTCTAGAAAAAAAATGCAGCCAGATGAAAGGCAAAAAAGGATTAGGGTAGGTCCATTAGCTCCGAGTTTGACCTCATAATAATCAGAAGGTTGGCCTTAAGGGACACTAGGTCTCTAAATTTCTTGTGTGACTTTACCTTTCTCCTCCATCTATTCTTTCCTTGCTTCCCTTCTTGAAGGCTTTTGCCCCTGAGGTTGATCCATTCCTCTCCTCCCTGGACAAGAATCACAGGTAAAGAAATGTTTAATCGTTTACTCAGTCAGTCAGCCAATCAGCATTTACTGAACATCTGCCATTTGCCAGTTCCTGTTCAGGTGCTGCAGATAAAGTCAGAGCACTAGAGATCACTGCCTGCCCAAAGCTTACAATCTAGTGGGGAAAAGAGACAGTGGTATAGGTATCCTTTGGCAAATGTCAGAAGACAGCTAACCCAGCCCGGGGAGTCACAGAGAGTACTAAAGATGGCAGTGTTCCCTCTGGATGTCCCTAAGAGCTTACAGGAGAAGAGGGATCCCTCTTCCATCCCTGGACTCTACTCCTCTTGCTGTTTCTCTGTAATAGCTATCTAGATCAGAGTGGATCCCTGCAGTTGTCCTTGTTATTTCTCAAAAGCATAGTTGGATTGGCAAGGATATAGAGAAATTGGAATCATCATACGCTGCTGGTGGGAATGTAAAATGGTGCAGCTGCTCTGAAAAACTGTCTGGCAGTTCCTCAAATGATTGAACATAGAGTTAGTTTATGATTCACCAATTCTACTCTTAGAGGTATATACCCAAGAAAATGAAAATGTGTGTCCATACAAAAACAAATTTTTGTAGCAGCATTATTCATAGGGGCTAAAACACAACTCAAATGTCTAACTGACAAATGGATAAGCAAAATGTGGAGTATATAGCGGAATATTATTTGGTCAAAAAAAGGAATGAAGTACTAATTCATGCTACAACATGAGTGAACCTTGAAAATGTTACATTAAGTTAAAGACGTCGAACTACATATTGTTTGATTCCATTCATATGAAACTCCAGAACAGGAAAATCTGTAGAGACAGAAAATAAATAAAGGGGAGGAGGGTTGGGGTACCTGGTGGCTCAATAGGTTGAACATCTGACTCTTGATTTCAGCTCAGGTCATGATCTCATGGTTTGTGAGGTGGTACTCAGAATGCAGAGCCTGCTTGGGATTCTCTCTACCCCTCCCTCTGCTCCTCCCCTGCTAATGTGCGCACTCATGCGCGCACGCGCATGCTCCCCCCCTCTCTCTCTCTCTCTCTCTCTCAAATAAACATTAAAAAACATTAAACATTAAAAAATAAACATTAAAATAAACATTAAAAAAAAGAGGAGGGGGTGATAGCTAAAGATTATAGGTTTCTTTTTGAGGTGGTGAAATATTCTCAAAGTGTGATGGTTACACTTATCTGTGAGTGTAATAAGAAACCATTAATTCTATAGTTGAAATGGGTGACTTGTATGATGTATGACATATACCAATAAAGCTATTAAAACTACAACGAAAAAGCATACTTGGGGAGCTGAAAGACATGCATTCTGATTAAAATTGTGGTCTGCATGGTCATTTACAATTTTAAGGACTAGAAAAAACTTTTTATTCTGGGTCCTGTGGCCCCTCAGAGCTCCTTCCTTAGTATACAGAGAAAGTTAATGCATCCGGGTGGGCAGTCTGAACAGATTCAGAGGAGTAGACTATGCATTCCTGTCCTACTTCCTAACTTCACTCCCTCATAATGATTTGGTTGAACATTTATGGTATGCCTACTGTGTACAAGATTTATGGACATGAAAAAGACAGTTTCTTTATTCCCTCCAATGGCTAAAATTAAATCATTAATATAATGCTCTCTATATAAACAAATAAAGCTCTTTAGAAGATAGGCAGTGTGACACAAAGAATCGTTGCAAGGCCATCTTGGGATTCTGGACTCCTTCTGTAGCATGTAGGGAAACATCACAATGACATCAGCTAGAGCAAGACCAATTCTCAGTCCTTCTTGATGTTGAGCAAGTTCCAAGACTTGACTCCCTCCTCACATGCCTCCAATCACCTCTTCATTTGGTTTCTAGACTCAGTCTATTTCCATACCCTTCATTTTCTCACCAACTCCACCCCCATGATGTCCAAATTGGCCCTCTGATGCTGAAACCATTTGCCAGAAATTCATTAAGCTGAACACATGGGAAATTACAGAGGAGATTTCACTTGTCACTTAGGCTCAAATATAGAAAGTAATTTTAAAAGGACAGTGGCAAGAGGCTATTTTTATCTTGCTTGTTTGTGCTGAGTTTTCTTATCTTGCTGTCTCTCACCCTCTTCCTAGCTACCTCTTTTCTCCTTCTTTAAATTGAATGTTGGCCTTTTAAATGTTTGTCTCACATTCTCTTACCTTGTTTTATGGAGTCTTCGCTTTCTGTCATCATTCATTCAGTCAACACATACTGAGTATCTACCAAGTAGCAGGCCACGTGGTAGGCACTAGGGAGGGATAGTATGATGAATAAGATAGACATGATCCTTACCATTATGGAGATTACAATCTGTGAAGCAGGTGGACATCAGGTAGAGTGAGTACAGATTTGGTCGCAGCAAAGACTTGAGAGTTACTTGTGCTTTAAAAAAAAATTTTTTTTTAATGTTTATTTTTAGAGAGAGAGAGGCAGACTGCAAGTGGGGGAGGGGCAGAGAGAGAGAGAGAGAGGGAGAGACAGAATTAGAAGCAGGCTCCAGGCTCTGAGCTGTCAGCACAGAACCCTAAGCGGGTCTCCAGGGACCATGAGATCATGACCTGAGCCTAAGTAGGATGCTTAACTGACTGAGCCACCCAGGTGCCCCTGCACTTTTCTGATGTTAAGTGTACCCTGCATGTTTGTAGGGCTAGGGGATAAACCTAATATTCACAAGGAATGCAAAGCAACCAAAGACCCAGGTTTCTGTGTGATCTAGTCAAGCCCC